CCCCTCACAGTGTGCCACCGGGCTGGCCACCCGGTGGCACCTGCAGTCCCCAAATGCCGCCCACAATCTAGCCCTGCCGCCGGGCCCCCTGAAGGCGGCCCTGGCGGCGGGCCCCCCTCCTGGCCGGGCCCTCGGACCGTGTCCGAAGTGCCCGACCGGTCAGTCCGCCCCTGACAGCACCTTTAAAAAAAACACAACACCCTCACACACAGCACACTAACAGCACCCTCACAAACAGCACCCTCACAAACAGCACCCTCACAGGACAAACATACACACACAAACACCCTCACACACAAACAGCACAGTCACAAACACGCACCCTCACACACATCACACTAACAGCACACAGCACACTAACAGCACACAAAGCAGTGTGTGTGTGTGTATATATATATAGATAGATACATACACACACACACACGCGCGTGGCGTGTGTTTGTGCTTTAGGGTGCACACCCTAATGCAATAGGCTGCGCACGCCTATGCAATCAGTTACCAACAAGTTGTCAATTTTTAACATGATTGCTGATAAAATTAGTCACTCATGACTGTTTCCATGCTGCAGATTAACAGCAAGTAATTGATGATTACGCTTTATCTCCCAAACTGTAACGCTATTTCTGCCTACATTTTTAATTCACAAAAATTATCCGTTTAGTAAATACATTTTTAAGTGCAAATTGCTCAGACGATCATAGGTAAAGCATTTATAATGTCCTAATGGAGTTGCTATGGCAACTAACTGAATACAAAATAAAAAATAAATAAAAAATACTGTTTAGTAAATATGCCCTATATGATAGCATGCATGCATTTATTTGTGCATTTTTTATTTTGGGTGTATGTTAAAACCTCTTTTAAAACCTGTATTTTTCTTATCTGCAGTCTTTGCAAGCCCTCCCATACTAACCCTGCCAGATGTTCTGTTGCTATCCAACCACAAACTTCCAAATACAGCTCAATGAGATGTCTTTGCTGGGCAGGTGCTCTGAGCAATTGCTGCCACTTGAGTTTAACTGAGCTTACCAAACCAAGAAGTAATTGGACCAGAGGCATAACTCGAAACCACTGGGCCCGGTGCGAAAATTGCCATATAACACGTACAGATACATACACAGACACACATGCAGATACATACACACACGCAAATGCAGACACACAAACTAACACACAGAGACACATATATACACACAGACACACATGCAGATGCATAGACACACAGAATTACACACTTTGAGATTCACAGAATTACACTCCTATAGATACAAACACTGACACAAATACAGATACACAGACACACACTGACACGCATGTGGATACACAGACACATATACAGACAGAAACACACACACACACATACATACATAGACACACACACACAAATTAAGGCACACAAACACACACACACATGCAAAATGCTTTAGTCAGCCTCCTGTTTCCTACCTTTTAGGTGCAGTAGGTTGACTTCCCTGGGGTCCACTGGTGACTCAAGCTGATGGGATTCAGAGTTCCCTCCTCTCCTTCCTCCTCCCGTGCGGCTCGGCAATTGCTGGGAAGAGTGACCAGGGCAGTCACTTTCTCCCAGCTCAGTCTGACATTATCACAGGGGGCCCGGTTGCGATGTTAAAGCGCCGCAGCGCTGACCTGGCCTCCTGGTAATACTTTGCCATCGGGTGGCCCTAACATCATGGGCCACCCGATGGGCTCCTTCAAGGCGGCCCCGGCGATTATTCTGCACGTGCCGGGGCCGCAACACATGGCGGTGGGCACCCGGTCACAGGGGTCCCCAGGGCGGTTGGGCCCCCTGGAGTGACGGGCCCATTCGCAGCTGCGACCCCTGCGATAGTTTGGCCATAGAACAGGACCTATTGTCTGCTTGAAAGCCAAAGGGGTGTAACCAGGTTCATTTATAAAACAAACAAATAGAGGCTGCGCAAAATGTTGCTATGTGCACAAACAAAGTGCTACCAAAATTTATTGGAGGACAGAATGGTAAACAAACGTTTCGGGTACAACCCTTTTTCAATGCACCATATCTATGGTGCATTGAAAAAGGGTTGTACTTGAAACCTTTGTTTATCATTCTGTCCTCCAATAAATTTTGGTAGCACTTTGTTTGTGCACATAGCAACATTTTGCGCAGCCTCTATTTGTTTGATTTGTACTGTGGATTGTCACTGTTTGAGCAGCACTGAGAGGCTTTGCTGCATTTGTGAGTACTATTTTTTTCTGATGTTTTTTTTGCTATATCTGGATCTTTTTATCCAGTTCCTCATACCTTGTTTTGTGTGTTCATTTATAAAAATTGCAATTTCTACTGAAAGCTGCCCTCTTTACAAATGCAAAAAAGAGGACACAATCTTTGCACATAAAGCTTTCCAGCAAGCTAAATTGCTTTAGGGGTCTGGAGTGTCCCTTCAATGTGTTAAAGTAGTTCTGTCATGGTTAGAAGGCTTTGCATATCTGCAAACACTCCTAAAGGTGATATCTCTGTTCTGCTGTATGCATTGGCAAGTGATGAAGTTATGCTTATCCATCCTCTATCTTCAGCTCCTAGAACTACATCCACGAGGAACTTGCATCACTGATGTGCTCTCATGCATGCAGAAAAATACATCATGGAGGTCTAGGTCTATGGAGTATCCTGCAAGATCACATGATCCTTCATAGACAAAGCTCAAGATGGCCAAAAAGATGCATTTTGTCAAGTTATGGCAACTTCAGGCTTGACCATAAAACAAAGTAGTCCCTACATTGTCTTATTATAACTTTTGTTTGTGTCAGGATTTTCAATTATATTAACATGAGCATTTTAGAAATATTTTGTAGAATACTCAGAAGTGATATTATGGTGACAAAGCCACTTTAAAGACCCAATAAGTAGAATTCTGTTATATTACGATTCATTTAGATCTCTCATGGCTAGTATTTTTCAAGAGCAACTGTTGCGATTTCCTCATAATACCTAGCTAGCTGAGCATCATGGGAAATGTACCCTCAACAGCTACATTGCCAAAGTTTAGCCATCACAGTTTTACATACTAGTTTGTATATTGTAGTTTTTTTTTTTTTTTTTTTATTGTAGTTAGTTAACTGATACATGTTTATAAGTTCCCACTCATTACAAAGCATGCTATCAGCCTTAAAGATATGGTTTATTTCCTTAGTCTGTTTCAGAGGGAAAAAAAAACATAATAACATTTTTTAGACTTTTTTCATTGCATCTTATCTCTGCTGTGCCATTTTGTGATTTACTTAATATGCAATAATGTAGTATGGTCAGTTACAGTGAGTGGTATATGCAATTTGTACAACATTAAAAAACTCATTTTCATTTTGTGCCTAATGTAGGGTACTGGAATATAAAGGTTATAGTATTTTTGTTAGGGTCGATTACATTCATACAAAAGTATATGGTGGCTTCCCAATGAACCAGTTTGTATGCCATTGGTGGGCAGAGAATTGGTGAGAGCTGGTAAGTAGCTGAGAAATAGCCAGATTAAAAACCTTTCCTGGAGACCCCCGAATTGAGCAAAAAAAAGGTTTACAGGAAGGCCATTCATCCCAAGTCATTTCCCGTCAGTCTCGGTTAGAGGGTGTAACGGATCACCTGGCACCCCGACTGGGTACCTCCGTTGAAAGATGCTCCTAGCGCTTCCAGAGGACTCCAAGCACTCCACCAGACACCATAAGCACCGCAGGCTGCAGCTATCTCCCTTCAGAACGAAGCAGGAACAAGCTCTTACAAGAGCTCAGTGATTATAGCAAGGGAATATGCCTAGCATAGCAATCCCTTGTAGCAGATTCCCCCAATAAGAGACAGGACTCAAGTTGAGGGTAAAAATAGAACTCTCTGGCTGCTAGCTTGCAGCCCTTTTTATTAGGTGCTCCCATGAAGGGGAGGGACACACACAGTAACGTACATTAACCAATCACACAATAGTTACATCCCACACATAGCCCTCCCCTCTACCTGTAAACTAATTATCTGTACACACAGGGAAATACAATTATCATAGGTAGGGAAAATACAGTTTTTACACAACATTCATAACTCCCAAAATATACATCACATTCGCATAAAAATACATATTCACAATCAATCCATTCAGGGGAACAACATATTAAAAAATGGCATGAATCAGACCAGGGGTTCAAAAGTTAGTAAAAGTATCTTTTGTTCCCCCTGGCTCAAACAGTAAAAGTAAAACATCCCCACAATGCATCCTGGCTTCCTCCCTTCTGCCCTGGAGATAATTGGAGAAGGAATCTAATTATCTCCAAAGACAGAGCCAAACTCCATTACCCACATGGCAGACAAAAAGACAGTAAAAAACATAAAATTACATACTGACACATTTAGTACATAAAACACACATTTCTACATATCCCCAGATAGCTTGGATCTGACTGCACATTATTAGATGAATGGCACTCAGATCACACGAATAAGCCTTTCTGCAGGAAAAATAAACAGTTTAACCTGCAGGGCCATAGTCCAAAGGCAAGAGGCGGGCAAGCAGCCCCCTCCAAGGACACGTGGCGAGGTCGGTTTTGCCACACCTCTCCCCTTTGCCCCCCAGACTAACAGGGTATCTGACCTCCTGCCGGTCAGTGCCCTGGTTAGTCCAGCAACCCACCCACGAAGCACAAACAGCAGTACAGCCCACCCACAATAAATGTTTACTCCACCTGGATAAAGTAGCAACTTGTCCATGTCCAGGTGCCTCACCACGGCTGTGTGGGGAGCTGGTAGACTGCCTTGGTGGGTTGCTGAGTGGGCAGAGACCAGCGGTACTCTGCCCTGGTGCCAGTGCTACCACCGAAGTAGCCTGATTGGAGCCTGGTTGTGGGAGGGGGAGACCGACCGTCTCCCCTCTGGGTACACAGCTCTGGGGCTGGGGAACAGGACCGACCGTCTCTACCCCTTGGGCTGTAAGCGCAGAGACTACGGTCCCATCTGCACAGTTGCGGGGCTCAACATCTCCCCTTGGTGGGTTAGGCTGCCGCTGGAGAGAGGGTGTAACAAGCTCCTCTCTCTGGACTGTCAACTGCCGCTGGGGAGAGGGGTTACCAGGCTCCTCTCCCTGACACTCTCTCTGCTGGTGGAGAGGCGGACCAGCTGTCTCCCCTTTCATTATTTTGTCCTGCTGCTGGGGTGTGAGACTGACGGTCTCTGCTCCCTGCAGGACACACTGCCGCTGGGGAGGAAGGACGACACCTTCAGCTCCCTGGGGTACACACTGCCGCTGGGGAGGAAGGACGACACCTTCGGCTCCCTGGGTTACACACTGCTGCTGGGGAGGACGGACGACACCATCAGCTCCCTGGGGTACGCACTGCCGCTGGGGAGGAAGGACGGCACCTTCCGCTGGGGCAGCCTGTAGAAAGTCAGGCTCAGGGGAAGGAAACAAGGGAGGACAGAGGCCAGCGGCGCTCTGCCCAGTTGCCAGCTCTTCTGCTGGGGGGGTCAGGGAACAAAGGAGTTGGCTGGGGAGGAGAAATATCACTTACCTCCCCCTGGTACTCCGGCTGCTGCTGGGGGGGGAGGTCGATGCTCTCCACTTTCTGTAACTCCAGCTCTAGTTGGGGATCTGGGTCGGTTGTCCAGCATCCCTGTAGGGCCGGTGGAGAGATCTCGGTCCCATCTCCACCTGCCTGCAGGGGGTCCTCCCAGGACCAGTCTATGAGGTCCTCTACCTCGGGTACCTCTGGTTGCTGTTGGGGAGGGAGACCGGTTGTCTCTTCCTCCAATAACACATTCTGCCGCTGGGGAGTGAGACCAACTGTCTCCCCTCCCTGTAAAACATACTGCCGCTGGGGATCTGGGCCGGGTGCCCAGCATCCCTGTAGGGCCGGTAGAGAGACCTCGGTCCCATCTCCACCGGCCACCTCGGTTTCTTCCTCGTCCCACTCTACCTGTGGCTGGAGTTTCTCCCAACGCGCCCACTGGCCTTCCCTCAACGCCCTGTGTTGTAGGTTCCGGGTCACCATGTCCCACACGAACTGCACGTATTTCTCCTCTGGATTGGGTCCGTAAAACTTCAGGTGCAACCCTACCATCGTGCCAAACTCTAGTACGGAGTAGCTATACGCCATGCTTGCTGTAGCCACTGCTGGTTCCATTATGTTGCTGAAGATAAGGACGCTGCACAACTCCACACGTTACCGGTGTCTCCGAGCTGCTTCTCCTCGCACTAGGATGCCATCCCGCCGCTGCCACCAATGTAACGGATCACCTGGCACCCCGACTGGGTACCTCCGTTGAAAGATGCTCCTAGTGCTTCCAGAGGACTCCAAGCACTCCACCAGACACCATAAGCACCGCAGGCTGCAGCTATCTCCCTTCAGAACGAAGCAGGAACAAGCTCTTACAAGAGCTCAGTGATTATAGCAAGGGAATATGCCTAGCATAGCAATCCCTTGTAGCAGATTCCCCCAATAAGAGACAGGACTCAAGTTGAGGGTAAAAATAGAACTCTCTGGCCGCTAGCTTGCAGCCCTTTTTATTAGGTGCTCCCATGAAGGGGAGGGACACACACAGTAACGTACATTAACCAATCACACAATAGTTACATCCCACACATAGCCCTCCCCTCTACCTGTAAACTAATTATCTGTACACACAGGGAAATACAATTATCATAAGTAGGGAAAATACAGTTTTTACACAACATTCATAACTCCCAAAATATACATCACATTCGCATAAAAATACATATTCACAATCAATCCATTCAGGGGAACAACATATTAAAAAATGGCATGAATCAGACCAGGGGTTCAAAAGTTAGTAAAAGTATCTTTGTTCCCCCTGGCTCAAACAGTAAAAGTAAAACATCCCCACAATGCATCCTGGCTTCCTCCCTTCTGCCCTGGAGATAATTGGAGAAGGAATCTAATTATCTCCAAAGACAGAGCCAAACCCCATTACCCACATGGCAGACAAAAAGACAGTAAAAGACATAAAATTACATACTGACACATTTAGTACATAAAACACACATTTCTACATATCCCCAGATAGCTTTGATCTGACTGCACATTATTAGATGAATGGCACTCAGATCACACGAATAAGCC